TATATATATATATATATATGCGAGAGTACACCATTCTTCGTTTCCTTTTGATCTTTTTGGTACTGTTAGAGCCAGCTATATGCACATAGATTACTAAATTTGCACATACACCCTTATACTAGTACCTTGGTTTCACGAGTGCTCTAGGAAAAATTCCAAGTGTACTGTTCTAAAGCAACCAGAACACGTTTGAAGGGCGTGATGATAAATTCCATCAGAGAAAACGTTGTTTGAAGCATAACTAATGTATCCAAGTATACTATGCATTTCGGCGCAAATAAGATTTTAATCTTCGTGATTGGAATAAGCAAACTATCAAAAAAACCACTACACCGTACAATCTAATGGTTAGAAAAGGAAAATGGAACTCTGCAAAAGTGCTTGTTGGATGTGGTAATTTATGCTCACTAATATTTCTCAACACATACAATGATACAGAAGCTAAAAAGACATGATATTCTTGACAGTTCAATAGTATGTGTATACTGCAAATTTTAAGAGTACAGTTGTGCTATTCCACGTTTCATCACTTCCTGGAACCAGCTTCCCACAAATCAGAGCCAACAGGAAAATGAATCCCCAATCAATACCACCTCATGTAAACAGACTGTTAGTCCTTGAGAAAAACAAAAATATCAAGCTACGTAGCTGCAGTCATTTTAGTGAAACCCCATCTCGATTTCAATAACTACCCAGAGTAAGTCTTCACATCCACTCCAATCTGCCTAGATATTCCACACGATGTTTAATTGTTCCAGAAGCTGAGAGTGCCTGGCTTGTTACCTTCGCAGGCTTTGTACTGTACTTCAACTCAAACCTAGGGAATTTTCTGTGGTTCTCTTCTGTACTAGAAGGTATATCCAGCTGGATCTCATTTAGGAACTCGTCTGCCACATCTCCATCTTCATCTATCCTAAGACGCTTGGCATACCATCTCAATCCCTAAGCATGGATAAAAATGTGAACTATTGAACATGTGCCTCGCAAACTAACAAGTTATTCTAAATTTAAGACAATGAAAGCACAAAACAGGATGCACTCAGCATCATTCAAGAAATCATAGTTATATAAACAAGTTGATCATGATACGGACTGTCAAACAAAGTTGTCATTCTCTCTTCGCCATCCAAGAACATGCACCTTTACTCATATGATTCTAATTGAATCAAGAAACTTAAATACTCATGCTATTTGTAACATTATGAGCTTAACTTTAAGTTTTTGAAACGCAAGGAGAAGAAAATGCACAACCACCAAAGTTTCCAGCAAAGAAGCACAGGCGGGCATTAACAAAACTGCAGCAGGACCCACGGTCTCAAGAAGTTAATTGACTACACCTCAAGTGAAGAAGCCTACAAAAATGTGAATCCTCCTTTAAACAATCTCCCATGTCCTCTGTAACCTAGAAAATCATTTTTTTTACCAGATACCCTTTTCCTATTTCTCAAGTACGTTTTAGAGGGAGAAGAAGGTTGGCTATATAGGAATTTTGAGTATGATAGAGAGCACTAAGAAGTACTAGAAGTTAAAAGAATATGAGGAATAACAAATTAATGAATGAACTCTTCTTTCCGGCTTTCAAATGCTTATCAGATGGGCCACGTAACATCAGAGCTCATACCACAGAAGGTTAATGGAAAGACACCTGATTTTTTTTAATGTCCGAGAAATCAATTTGGAGCCGACTTTTGGGCCAACCGCAGCCTTCATAACTCGGGGATGATTCCCCCCCCCCACACACCCACACCCCACCCCCACCCACCCAATTGAAAGACACCTTATCTCCAGAGTCATCAGTATTTGTTCAATAACAAGCTAGAAGTGAGATCTCCAGAGGACTTCCCCTCCTTATCTCAACAAGTCCCTGGAACTTAGAAACATAGCCACAAACAATACCAGGTCCCGAGAAGAGCGTGTAGGCATATTACAGTATTCAGTGGTACTCTCTGAGTCTGGGTCTAGTGGTTTATGGCTGTATGCACTTCCAATTGCCTACAGGACATGCATTACAAAAGCTTAAAAGAGCATAGAAGCCTTTTAGGTGGCCAGATGCACTCATTTAACATACATTTAGTTGGTAAATCCCCAAAATTGGCCTGCAAGTGCATCCTCCCCAACACCAAACAGTAATTTTCTTAAAGAGGTGGCCACTAGCCATCATAGGTTTTTAGAACTAGAGAATAGTTACATGAGCTATTAAAAGAAAGGAAATGGCAAGAAGTGCAACACATCAGATGTAGGGGTATTTAATGAGAGAGAATACTTATATGGTCGACGCAAAATAGCTTTGAAGGGATTTCATCTTCCTTTTTACCGATAATTGTGGTGTCTGGGCCAGTTTGCGCGTATCTCAACTAATTCCAAGGAGTACCTACATGCTACCTTCCACCTTCACAGGTACTGGGTGGATTTCACTTTCTTTCTTATCACATCCTCTCCTTTTTACTTCTAAGTAATCCTCTTATCCAGAGAAATTGATTGTTAGCTCTATAACAGAATATCTAATTTGAACTTCCACTTGTTCATTCAGAATTTATAAGATAATGTTTTCAACCGCCAAATTTATCACGGTTGAAACGCCATTTCATCTAGATAGTATTGTGGAAGGCAGAAACCATAGAAAAGCACCAAGTTGCGATGGCTTTTAGCACAAGGCACAATTAAAGCATGGATTTCAGTTAAGAAGAGGCAAATGGAGGAAATATATCCATGTGCATATAATTGTATATAATGCAAGAAAAATACTTTCACACAAAAAAAAAACATTTATTTGGAGAAAATTGAAAGAAAAACGCCATGAAGTGAAATATAAGAAGTAAAAATTATGTCAATCAAATTCAACCAATTTTAAGATTCTGATTTAGATGCAACGATGCCTTTTAAGTGTCAAATTTAATGACCAGCTTTCGTCAACTACATTCTAATTTCATATCTTATCACTTTTTTCCCCTTCTCCAGTTAATTACCTGAACGCCGCCATGGCCAGTAGTACAGGCAATAAGGATTGGACCCGGTAGATCTCTGGGAACACCAACTTGAACAGGGACACTGAATCCTTTGCGAAGAGGTACATTATTACTATTTTGAGCTCCTTCACCTACGTTGTCCTCTTCTTCTCTCACTTCTTGCCCTTCGTCCTTTGAAAACCCTAGAAACCCAGCTAATCTCCTAAATATACCCATTCACTTTCTAGTTCTAACTTCTAAGTAGATACACATGCATTTCAAGTACCAGCAACAGCGAATGGCTCACAAATCCACAATCGGCGGCAGATCTTAAGTCTTACGTCTTCGACCTGACTGGTGATCGGCGAATCGCTAAGTACAGATGACGATTATGATGATGAATGATGATGACTAGTTTAGAGGTGCCGCGAGCTGGAAAAAAATGCCTTCTTTTTTCGTCACAACAGTCTGGGAGACACTTGTACTTGTTCCGATTTGTTATCCGGTGCCTACACTCCATAAAGTTTCATCCAAACACTTAACTTAATTAAAACAAGACTTTTAAACACCTCCGGAATCGTGTGATGCTCACTTGCTTGATGTAGATGACAAATCAGCATCCACATCAAATTCTATGCCAAAAATAATATTATTTAACAAAATTTTAATTTCATAAACAAAAAATAAAATAAAAAAGCAAAAAATTAAAATTAAAATTAAAGAAAACCCCTCCTCCCTTCTTCAAACCCGCCCACTCAACCTTCTTAAAAGAATAACCCACCTGTTATGGCTCCTCCACCATGAGTACCACTACTTCCTTCACTCCTCTTTTAAAGAAAGTTATCTATTCATAAAAAATACATGAGCAGAGAATTAAGTCTTTTGAATTTTGACTTATTCCTCTACCCCGATTTGAAAGGGCTGTGAAAAAATTTGAAAGCTAAAACCACCGGGAAAAAATGGAGGAGTCATAGAGAAGGGAAAGAAGGGATGAAGAAAGATGGAGAAAAAGGGGAAGGGAGGGGATCTAAAGAAAGATGACGAGGAAGAGGCGGGGGGTGGGGGGGTTCAGAACGAAGGGGAAGGGACTAAAGAAGAAGAAGAAGAGGAGGGGGCAGAACGAAGGGGAAGAGTCTGAAGAAGAAAGGGGGAAGGGGGGCAGAACGAAGGGGAAAGGGCTGAAGAAGAAGAAGGGGGGGGGGGCAGAACGAACTCTTCATACTAGAATACTGTTAGTATTTTTTATTTATTTATTTATTTATTTTACTTTTTTAATAAAGAGAAATCATCAGCTCACGCATTTAATGGGCGTGTAAGTCACTCATTTTGTCCACTTCAGTCATATCAATGCCACATAAGCTCGGTCAACAGTCAGAAGGGTTTAAAAGTCTTGTTTTGATTAAGTTGAAGTGTCTAGATGAAACTTTATGAAGTGTAGGGATCGGGATGACAAACCGGAACAAGTACAAGTGTCTCCTAGGCTATTCTGCCTTCTTTTTTCACTACCTCAATTAACCACAAAAGATCGGAGAAGGTCATAGACTCATGGTCAATAATTTAGGGGGGTGTTCATGAAAAAACAAAAAATCCAACTGCATAGGGTAAAATATATTTATATTGAATGATCGTGCGAGGAAGTGACATGTGGAGCCGAAGACGGAAGATTGAAACCGAAGGCAACGATCACATTTGTCACCGGAGAGAATATTACTCGTAAAGATGAAATAAATGTTTGCCGCCAGGTAGCATTCAATGAGGAATTTTCTATAGCATTAGTATACGACCCGTTACAAGGAATATGTCATTTATTACCTGTCGTTACACATTCTTCAATGGCCCTCATAATTGACATTAAAGAGGAGCTTGATCCTAGGACTTTGTTCCTTAGGTGCAACTATAAATAATAAGCTCTATTATCATTGTAAAGGCCACGAATTTTCTGACAAACATATGATACTTTCTATTCAAAGCTCAATATAATCTTACCTTCTTGTTTAATAATATCATCGCTATTGTGCCCGGAAGCCCTGCTCCCGGAATTACCATTTCTGCTATTTTATCTCAATGCCAAGCTAAGTATCATTTTTTTATCTAATTCATCTATTATTTCAGGATCAAATTAATTCATTTGTCTATAAACTATGTATAAATTCAATTGTATCATTTTATGGGTAAACAGTATGGCGCCTATCGCGGGGCTTAGACAGTTGTGCAATTAAGTTGGCCCTTGCATTTTTTATTAACGTGTTTGATTATTTGTTTTTAGCAAAAAATTATAGAAAATGGCAGATAATGGTGCTAACAACAAACACAACCTTAAGGCTAAAGGAAATCAGCCTCGGCACGAGGATTCGCTCAGTGATACCCGCAGTGAGGGGAACGAGTCCACTCCGGTCCACGATAGGCGGTACCCGCTACAGATGCGAGAGGCGACACCTGATGATGTTGAAGAAGAACACGTCGTCGAAGCGATAAGGGTGTTGCAGGAGCAACATGAGGCCATCTTAGGTCATATCACACGGCAGGATAAGGTTATGATGGAACTCAAACAGGCGTTATCGGGTGCTTCCAATAACGCGAATGGACGAGGTCCAGTTCCTCTCGATGCTCCCGCAAATCAAATAACGCAGAGGATCGACAACAACACCCCCAAGGGCGAAGTAGGATTCGATGGGGCCGGGGGAAACAGTTTCGGTCATAACAACGAGGGTGATCCCTTCAAAAACGAACTCTTACAGTTTATGAGGGAAGCGAACACCCGCATGGACCAAATCCCGGGCGCACCAACAGTGCTGAAAAGGCCGGACTCAAAGAAGTACACTCAGTTGTCGTAAAACCAAGCTTGGCACCAGAATTGATCCCGAACGATTTAAAATGTTGGATGTACCGAAATATGATGGGACTTCAAATCCTCAAGAGCATATCACCACGTATACAACGGCGGTGAAGGGGAACGATTTAGTTCCCCATGAGATTGAATCAGTGTTGCTGAAGAAATTCGGAGAGACTTTCACGAAGGGAACCTTGACGTGGTATTCGCTTTTGCCCGAGCATTCTATAGACTCCTTCGAGATGCTTGCGGATTCTTTCATTAAGGCCCATGCTGGAGCCAGAAAGGTGCAGGCCTGAAAGGCCGATATATTCAGGATTGCACAAGGAGAGTCCGAGTTGCTGCAGCAATTTGTAACCTGGTTCCAGAAGGAAAGGATGTTGCTCCCGGCCGTTCCAAATGAATGGGCGGCTTAAGCATTCACCAAGGGTTTGAATCCGAGAAGTTTAGATGCTTCCCGAAAGTTGAATGAAAGCTTGCCTGAGTTCCAAGCGACAACTTAGGCGGACGTTCACAATCGGTACGAGTCAAAGATAAGGATCGAGGATGATCAGTTTGGTTTCCCGGCGTCGGTTAAGGGCCTGGAGAAGAATAAAGAGAAATCAAAAGACGATTTCGACACAGATAGACGGTCTTTGAAGAGCCGATTTTTGCCATATGAACGAGCCGAAGGACGCAGCAGAGGCTCCCGGGCGGCAGACAGGTTCGATAGAATAACTGATCGCAGCCGGAGTAAAAGGTCACTACAGGACAAGGAAATGTCAGGTTCTCGAGATCCTTCCTACCCAAACTTTCAGAATACAAATTCAACGTTAGTGTAGTAGAGTTGGTATTGGCTATGAGGAACATTAAAGAAGCACGGTTCACGAAGCCGATGAGATTCGATCCCAGCCAGAGGGATCCTAATTTATGGTGCGAATGATCACCAGACTGGGGACTGCCAGCATCTGCGTGAAGAGGTTGCGACACTGCTGAAAGATGGCTATCTCAGGGAATTCTTAGGTTACCAGGCTAAAAACAATTACGATCGCAATCGTGACAACACAGAGCCCTCAAAAGCAGGAAAAGATCCCTCGCGCCCGACAATCAACATGATTTTGGGTGGCGGGGAGGGGGGACGAGATTAACGGGGTTACCTTTTTGGTGGCAAAAAAGACAAAGGTATTAGTAACCCACAACAAGAGACTCCGGGAAGTAGCTGAAGACGACATGACTTTCACGGAGGAAGACGCGGATGGATTATTGCTACTGCAGAATGACGCATTAGTAATTTCTTTAAATGTATTAGATTTTAAATTCAAACGTGTTCTGGTGGATCCAGGGAGTTCGGCCAATATTATACAATTGAGGGTATTGGAGCAAGCCAAACTCACCGGAAACATCATCCCGGCCACAAAACTCCTCGCCGGGTTTAACCTAGCAAGCGTGACAACTCGAGGGGAGATCTTACTGCCAACGAATGTCGAAGGGGTGATGAAGACGACCCTTTTTAAGGTGATGGGCCGTAATATTATCCTGGGAAGACCATGGTTGCACGAGACGAAGGTTGTCCCGTCAACATATCACCAGTTGCTGAAATTCCCGACTCCCAAGGGAATTAAACAAATAAGAGGTGACCAATCGGCGGCAAGGGAGATGAATGAGATTTTGGCCTCCAGTAGCAAAGGGAAATAGCATGCGGCATAGCAATTGCAGGAACCAGTGCCTACTCCCGAGTCAAGCGAAGTCAACCAGAGGGAAGAGGCATCGGAATCTTATTAGGTTCCAAGGTATTTCCAGGTACCAGAAGAGACGGACTCAACAAAGTCCACAGCGGAAGAGCTTGAGCAAGTCGCATTATTCGAAGAGTTCCCAGAAAGGAAATTCCACTTGAGGGCAGGACTGCACCCCGAACTAAGGTCTGAATTTATTGAATTTCTTAAATTTAACGTTTATTGTTTTTCATGGTCGCATGTGGATATGACAGGTATCCCCCGGAAGTGGTCGTACACAAGCTGAGCTTGGATCCTAGCATCCCTCCGGTAAGACAGAAAAAATGGCCTATTGCCGAGGCTAGAAACGAATTCGTCAAAGAAGAGGTAACTTGCCTACTTGATATCGGTTCAATCCGAGAGGTAAAGTATCTGGAATGGCTAGCTAACGTAGTAATATTACGAAGAAAACTAATAAATTTCACATGTGCGTAGACTATAAGGACTTGAATAAGGCATGTCCAAAGGACTCGTTCCCACTGCTGAACACTGAACAAATGATTGATGCAATGGTCGGGCATGAGTTAATGAGTTTTCTCGATGCTTACTCCGGGTACAACCAAATTAAGATGAACCCGGAGGACCAGGAAAAAACTTTGTTCATAATGAACTTCGGCACATATTGCTATAATGTGATGCCCTTCGGGTTAAAAAACGCCTGAGCCACTTATCAGCGGCTCGTAAACAAAATGTTTGAAAAACATATAGGGAAAACCATGGAAGTTTATGCAGACGATATGCTTGTTAAGTCTTTGAATGCAGGCGATCATCTTAAACACCTACAAGAGACTTTTGACATTCTAAGGAAGCATAATATGAAGCTTAACCCGGAGAAGTGTGCGTTCCGGGTCAGCTACGGCAAGTTCTTGGAATTCCTGGTGTCACAAAGGGGGATTGAGGTCAACCCCGATAAAATCAAAGCCATCGAAGACATCCCGGATCAACTATCAAGCGTAAAAGAGGTTCAAAGACTCACAAGGAGATTGGCCGCTTTGAGCAGGTTCATTTCTTGGTCTTTAGAAAAATGTATCACTTCTTTTCGTTACTCAAGAAGAAGAACAACTTCGAGTGGACCCTGGAATGTCAACAGGCTTTGAGGGATTTGAAAAGATACTTGTCAAGTCCTCCGCTGTTATCGAAGTCGAAGGAAGGCGAAAAGCTGTTAATCTATCCAGCAGTCTCGGAGATAGCAATAAGTGTTGTATTAGTCCGTGAGGATGAGGTACGCAATATCCCATTTATTACGTTAGAAGAATTTTAACGGGAGCAGAAACTCGCTACCCACATTTGAAAAAGTTAGTCTTTGCCCTCGTAGTCACCACTCGGAAGCTAAGGCCTTATTTTCAGTGTCACCCGATAGCTATGGTGACCACCTTCCCCCTACAGAATATCCTTCATAAACCCAAACTTTTGGGTAGATTGGCCAAATGGGGCATCGAAATGAGTGAATTTAACATAGAGTATAAACCTAGGTCTGCGATTAAGTCACAAGTTTTGGCCGACTTTGTGGCCGATTTCAGTTCGGGATTGCGACCTTTGGATACTAAAGAAGTAGTGATGACGTCAGAATCGACATCCGAAGTTTGCACACTATATATGGATGGAGCCTCCAACTAAAAGGATCTGGGCTCGGCATAGTATTAACCACGCCTTCGGGAGAAACCTTAAGGCATGCCATAAGAATGGTTTCATGACTAACAATGAAGAAGTGTATGAAGCTTCGATTGCAGGGCTCGAATTGGCCCGGGGAATAGATTCTGAGGTCACAGAAATCAAATGCGACTCCCAGCTGGTGATAAATCAGGTCTACATGATCTTCGAAGCCAAAAAGGAACGCATGCAGCAATATGCAGTGAAGGTTCAGGCTTTGCTCGCTCGGTTCCGGGAGTGGTCAATCACGCATATCCCGAGGAAGAAAATGCAGAAGCGGACGTATTAGCTAACCTTGGCATGTCAATAGAGATGAGGGGATCGGACTCCGGTACGGTCGTACAGCTTATGCGCTTGGTTCTAGACGTAGATAGCTACTACGAAGTAAATGCGACTAATTTGGTCTGGGACTGGAGGAATGAGATCATTGATTACCTCGAACACGGAAAGTTGCCTAAAGATCCAAAAGCATCCCGGGCGTTGCGCACTAAAGCAGCACGGTATGGTTTCAAATGAGGCCAATTATACAGAAAATCATTCCAAGGCCCGCTGGCCCATGCTTAGGAGCCTTCGAAGATAATTATGTTCTGCGAGAAGTCCACGGAGGGATCTGCGGAAATCATTCGGGCGCAAGCTACTTAGTGCCAAAAACTAATAAGGGCGGGCTACTATTGGCCCCGAATGGTACATCAACATTACGCACAATTGGTACATCAACCAGCAGAACCATTGCACTCAATTTTGTCTCCATGACCGTTCATGAAGTAGGGAATGGATATCGTCGGACCATTGCCACCAGCCCCTGGTACGGTAAGATTTCTTTTGATTTTAACTGACTATTTTCTAAGTGGGTTGAAGCAGGTCCTTATCAGAAGACCGGCGAGCGCGAAGTGGTGGATTTCTTGTGGGAGAACATAATTTGCAGATCTGGGATACCAAAAGAGATAGCCTACGACAACAGGCCACAATTTATAGGAGCAAAGGTCACAAAGTTCCAAGAACACTTGAAGATCAAAAGGATCACATCTTCGCCCTATCATCCAAGCACAAAAGGTCAAGCAGAATCAACGAACAAAGTAATTATACAAAATCTCAAAAAGAGATTGGAAACAACTAAGGAAAATGGCCTGAGGAACTGCCTGGAGTACTATGGGCGCACCGAACAACGACCAAATCAAGCACATGAGAGACTCCTTTCTCCCTTGTGTACGTATTGGTAGAAGTAGGGGAGACTACCCTGAGATACTTCTAGGCAAATGAAGAAGCAAATAATGAAGCAATGTTGGTCAATTTGGAGTTGCTCGGTGAGCGCAAGGACTTGGCGCATATAAGGATGGCAGCTCAAAAGCAGAGAATAGAAAGATATTATAATCGAAGAGACAACCTCGTTATTTCTAAGTGGGAGACTTGGTTTTAAGAAAAGTAACTCAAAGCACCCGGGAACTCAATGCAAGGAAGCTAGGTCCAACATGGGAAGGCCCGTACCGGGTTTCAACTATCGCCGGGAAAGGGTCACACGAGTTGGAGAATCAGGATGGTGAAAAGTTGCCAATCAACTGGAACGTGGCACATCTCAAGAGATACTATTGCTGATGAACATCACCTATACTGAAAGTATGTGCTGCACTATTTTTCCCTTCGTTCAGTTTTTGTCCCAATTGGGTTTTTCTAGCAAGGTTTTGTTGATACCCAATTTTTCCTATAATATTTTCGAAACTATGCTTTGGCATCAATTAACATTTTTTATACAATTTCTGCATTTTGAAATATTTTAACTAATTTCTCCCAGCATTTTATTTATAAAAAGATCACTAATTGTATCACAAATAGTTTTATAATAATTTTTGTGGTTTAATTTTATCATTTGCATTTGTACTAAGTTTCAATTGTTGCACAAATAGCCACTTTTGTATTTTTAGGATGCAATTGCAATTACTTTGCAATTATAGCCTATGCATGCATTATTACATTATTTCACCAAAAAAATAGCCTTTTACATTTTTTAAGTATTAATTAATTATTTTAAAATATTTCCAGGCATGAAAATCATTTTTTTTACGGCCTATTAGTTATTTTTGAAAATTGTTTATCAATTAAATCGGGTATTTAACAAATAGCACCTTTAACCATAATTAAATTCGGACCCATGGCCCAATCAAATACACCCCTAGCCCAATTAAAACCCCAACCCAACTAACCTAACCCAAAACCCTGACCCAATTTTATAACCCGCCCCAGCCAGAACCAATCTTGGCCGTTGATCTCAAGAGATCAACGGTCCAAAGCAAACCTTCCTTTTTTATCTAACCTAACCCCCGAAACCCTAAGCCATTTTTCACCAAACAGCCGTCCTGAAACCCCCTTTCCTCTCCAATTCTCTCTGAGACCTAAACCTAACCCTAGCCGCCGCCACCCAAAACCAGCCCTAATCCATGTGATTCCTACTCGATCTATGGCTTCCCATGGCTGTACGAGGCCTCTACTTGTCTCCTATCTCCCTGGTTGTTCGATTGTGTGGTTTTTGTGGAAGGACCTCGAAGAGATCTGGTCCAGATCTCGTTTAAGGCTCTTCAAGAGTTTGTCCATGGTCTGCGAGTGATTTCCATCGAAGTTTCACGGTTCAAATCCTTGATTCAAAGGCCAGATCCTCTTACCCTTTCTCTTTTCTTCAAGAAACCCATTGTTTGGACTCGAATCCGTTCAGATCTCCGTAGATCGGGAACGATCCTGAGTTCATCGTTGATTTCCTAAAAGTTCCTTTACTTCTTTACTAGTTAATCGATGTCTGAACATTTTTTGTTATATTAGGGTTTGTTTTCTTATTGTTTGTTGGTCGAACCTCTAGGTATCTGAAACATTTAAACTTTCATGGCTACTCTTCTGGGTTCTTTTACTCCTTTACTACTAATCGATTTTTAAACACTATAATACTTCAGGTTTTGACTTCTATGACTTCTGTTTGTTCGAATCTCTGTATGTTGACATGCCTTCAAGTTTTCTTCTTTAAGTGTTTTCAAACTAGGGTTTCATCCCTTTAAGTTTTCTGCAAAAATTCTAAAGTGTTTGACTGTGGTTCTCTTTACTTGTTCAATCCCTAGGGTTTCTGCTTATTTCACTGATTATTTCAATATTTTGCCCGTTATTCATTAGTTCTATCAATTAAAAGGGATTGACTGATTTTATTTGCCTAATTAGGGTTCAAATTATATTTTTTGTCGAGATTGGTACTTCTCTGTGATTTCTTTCCTTATTTGTGACTCATGACGGGTACTA